GTAGTAATTCAGAAATAAGTATAGGTATGTGGAATCAGGACTGTACTCGGAGCAGTAGGTTGTGAATGAAAAGGTTAATGTATCTTCTTCGCTTGATTGAAAAATCAGATCTTCACTTTACCCTCAGGGGAATATTGCATCAAACCTTTACTTCTAAAAGATTTCCAAATTTTCTTTTTGGATTACAGTTTTTAAGTATCGTTTGCCATAACTTTCCACTTATTTACATTTCCATTTTTTCTAAGTTTTTTCAAAAGCTGTTTTTTATTTTTTAGTTTTAATCTTAAGTTTATGCAATTGATCTTAATTTTTTTTCTAGTTTCTTTTGCTTTTTTTTCTAATAATTATAAAACTTAAATAAACAGTATAATGCCTAACAAAATAATTTTTAATTTAACAATACATTACAAACGAGGTGGTAAATATGGCATTACCCTGAGTGCTCATGTATACGTTCGAGACGCGCCAGCCTCGTGATCGGATAAAGCACAAGGGGTAATGCCATTACCACCGAGGTTTGTATACTATTTTATTTACAATTACATTATTTTTACTCCATTTTATGATGTTTGTCCTTAAAATATATTTGCTTCATTTCGTGGAGGATAGTATACAGGACAAAGGAAATAAAACCATTAAATTCGTCGCGACGTTTCGATACCTTTATTTTATCTTCTTCAGCCAACGAAAATTCTTCGCCTGAAGAAGATACAATAAAAGTATCGAAATATCGCGACGAATTTAATGGTTTTATTTTCTTTATCCTTTATACCATCTTCCACGAAATCGAGCAAACATTATTTTTAGTCAAAAATTTGAATAAAATAAAATTCTAACAAACTTAAGGTTCAAACGTGGTGCACTTGGTTGCAAAAAAATCGGAAAATGTCAAAGCATAAGAATGTCAGATTTTTATATTTATCCATAGTTTGAACATAGCTTAATTCTAAAAGGTTAAGCTAGAACTGACAGTTAATCTGTAGTACTCACTACTTATTGGGTTTTCACGTAAGTTCTCAACTAATTATCTTGATTTGCATTTGATGCTCTCGGCATTTAAGTGCGGCATTGCAGAAAAAAATTATTTAAATGCGACAGATGATCAATTGACAACTAAATTGACAAGGGCAAAACCTGTTTCAATCTAAAGAAAATTTCATTTTCCGTTTTTATTGCAACCAACTTTGGCCATCTAAATTGCGTTTGAATTTTGACATTTCAAATGTGTGAATTTGATATTAAAATTGTTGAAATGGAGCAGTGTACTCCCCTAGAAGTAAAAGAAATTGCTATAGAAGCAATTGAATACCAATTTAGCAAAATACTATGCGTAACCATGTTTATTAATACTTTTTGTTTATTTTAGTCCATGCTATTATTTCTTTAAATATTTTACGATCTTTTTTTAACACCTTGTATACATATGCTTTTTTATGTGTTCAGCACAGTCTAATCTTTCTTTCTGCATGGACCCAGAGAAGCAGCATGTAGCACTCATCGTTATCCTCTTGCAATCTCTGAAAACAGTTCAATAAACCGCAATTTATCATCCTTTGTTGAGGACATTGTAACCGTCGCAATTCTCCACATTACCGAGTCTTTATTTATGTCACACGTTACCTAGCATCGAATTGGGCGTCTTGTATACGCTATAAATTCCTCAGCTGCATTCGAGGCCATCATACACATCCTCTACGTATGACCCTTTAGGAAATTACACATCACATATAACGATCCAAACTCTTTGTAAAAAGTCAATAATAAATGATAATGAAACTTCTTCTGGTCGGAAGATTGGTCGTTGAATGTGTATTCATTCCTCCATGGGCTGGCCATAGCATTAGCAAAATTACAGTGTTTACTAGACCGTTTCAGAACGAGTTAGACCAATACTATACTTTATCATCTATCGTTTTATCTGATTTAATGTTTGATTTCGTATTAAGTGGCCATTTTGCGTTCGACAATCCGATTTTTAAAAGTCGATTCGTGACAGAGGAAGCTCCGAATTCGTCCAATTGATGACCTGATGATAAGAAAATTCACTTGCGAAATTTTAACGATGGTCACGATGGTCGACCATACGCACCCATTGGTGTTACACCCCGGAGTTGCATGACGTGCATGATCCAGAACTGCAGTAATTGCACGGTGCCCCGCACCCCGCGACTCCGGAGCACGAAACTAGGAACCGGAGTACTTCGAAACGGAATAATTAATCATAAGGAGAGAAAATCGGGCGCTCTTTCTTTTCGCCATTTTTATTGCTTTGTTGAGGTATTGCGCGCGGTGTTATGGAAGGTGATTAAACGAATTTGCTTTGTTTGGGGCGATTTTACGCTAATGAGGCGAAAAAAGGAATCAGCATCAAGATTCTCATTTCTTGAAAAAATTAAAATAAAAATTTACTCTATTTTTGTTGTTTCATGCATTTTGTTGTTCATGGTATTAATAACATTCAACTATGTATTTACAATCATTAAACAGTCAATATCACCCTATTATCACATATGAGGTTTTAACAGCCCGACTTTTGCTTTAACGCCCGGCTTTTTAACCGCGAGAGAAAACAACTCCTTCGGTTGTTATGACTTTCTTAACAGCCCTGAATACGTAATAGTATATTACATAACGAGCACGGAAAGTGATAAATAACGCACAAGCGGGAAAGTTGCGCACGAGGCGTTAGCCGAGTGCAGACAATCGCGCGAGTGCAATGGACACTTTCCTGCCAGTTTTGTACACTATTTTTCCTGCGACCATAAATAATTTTTTTCTTACGAACATATCTTTTTTTTCGTAACGATTTATTTTTTATAATGGATACAGAAAAAAATACGTTAAATGAAAAAATACAAATCATTCGAGTGTGAATTGTGCGTTAGATTACTAACACACAGTGCGAAAACAAATCGCACAGGTTTTCGACCTCGTACGATATTGCCAATTTTCGCGCATATGTAATTGTGCGTTACGATCTAGTTTCGTATACGGTTGTAGGAAAATAACTATTTCGACGTTCCTTGTTGTTATGGTACAGATAACATTCAACAACTTACAATTTTTAAGCTGTCAATAATATACAAGACTATTAGAAAGTATAAACAGTCCGCTTTTGACAGTTTTAAGAAATAATATTATTATTAAATATTATTGATATTTTCAAAATTTATTTATTTTTTTTTATTTTGGTAACTTAATACGACAAAAAACGTTGTACCTACGTACTATTTCAGTTGTTATGGCCTTTTTAACAGCCCTGAATACGTAAATAACTATAACTGTAATTGTATTCATTAGGTACCTATTCTAGGATTACAAAAGTTATTTTACTTATTTTCAATTTAAATTTTTTGTAGAAATTATTTTAAGATTAGGTACTATATTGAATGTTAAAAAAACTTGAAAGATTACAAGGGGTGGTCAAAATAAGAAAAAAAGTTTTTACAAACTTATGTCCGGAAATGGTTCCTGAAGGAGCTAGAGCTCCCTGAAGATGGCGGGCAAAAGGTCTTTTTTCAATTATCTCAGTAACCTGTGAACGTAAATTTACGAAAGTTTGCATCTGAACAAATTTTTTGGTGCTAAATTTATTGGTGATGTCAAAAATTGTGTCAGAATGAGACAGACACTGAGGTTAATCTACTTAATGCGTAAAATTTTGCTTTGGAAGAAATTTTTTTAAATTTTTTTTGCCAAATTTCGGATTTATTGCTAATTTTTATCAAAAAATGTCTTTTGTGTTATGTTTGCTCGACACACCGTTTTCAATCAAAGAGGTGACCATCTCGAAGTTGGGTTATGTTTCATGCAAATTAAAACAAGTAAATTTGTTGGAGTAGTTTTAGTTTTAATTAAAACCATCTTCAGCAAAAAGTGAAAAAATCACATGTAAGGGTGTGTTATAAACAATTCAATTATATTGCATGATGAATTACAATTAAAAAAGTAAAAAAGAAGAGTACTGAAAGTAGTGCTATATCCTGATGGACTGTAATAAACTGTAATAAATAAGTTTTTTCTAAACCGTGCATCGAGTTTGTAACACTAAAAATTTTTCAAAGTAAATAGTTTTTGAAGTATGTATGTAATGAAAAGTTATTCAAGACAAGCTACTTTACGTTTTACAGTTACATATTTTCTATTAGTACATTTGAATAATTTAAATTAATAATAAAATTAGCTTAACTTAAAAAAAACAAAAAATAACGTAGATTATTAAAAATTTATAAATAAGCCTGTAAATTCCAAAAATTAGCTACTCCAATGTAAATGTGTAGATAGGTAGAGGTAATTATTTAAATTATTAAATAATGAAGATGTTTGAAAATTTAAAGGTTATTGCGTCAATTTGTTGTTTCTGTTTTGAAAAGTGTGAAAGAATTTCAGTATTATTACATTTCAATTCCGCCCTCAAACGATACTAATCCAACAATAATAAAGCTTTTGGTTCCATCGTCATATCTATCGAAATAAAATTTTTACGGCCCATATATTCGTGTCGGCCACCCTCTGGTTAGTTCGACCACAAGTCAATCGTATTTCGCTATCGTCCAGTCTCCCCTAAAAAACGCTCAATCACCACTGGCGCATCCCTCGACCTCTCTCAGGTAAAAAAGCTCAATCGGCAAACTTTCGTTTTTCCCCCTGACCGTCCCAACGTCATCAACCCTTGGGGTAGGGCAGGTACGGCGGTCGATGAACCTCCGAAAAAAAGCGCTTAGCAGGTGGCCAAGGGGTGCAAAAAGAACAATCTCTCTTGATCGGCTGTTAAAATCGCTCCTCCTCCGCCATGTGACAAAAAGTCATGTCAGCGTAATCAAAGCAACCAGCGTATTAAACAATATACTCGCTGGAAGTAGAACCCAGCAACCAATGCCTGGCTTTTCGAAACAGTCGAAGGCGGTCGTTTTTGCCCAGCCGACTACGCGATGCCCACTACTTTTCGACAAAACACTATCGTCTTAGTAGCTGACTGAGACGCGACGTTCTTTTGTTCAGTGCGCGCATCCAGTGCTCAGCGCCGACGGCGACGCGATTGTGCGATTTGGTTTTTGGTGGGTGTGTGACATGTGGACACTGATTTGGAACGTCGGTAAGTGTGAACCCGGCTTTAGCAATTAGTGTTCTTGATTATTTAATTAATTAATTTAATTAAGGCGCGATGATGACTAGAAATGCGTTTTAAAATAACTAATTGCTAGGAATTAGTTACGAAAAATTACTTCAACAATTGTATGGGATTACCAGTGGCGGCGTTATCGCTCGTTTCGATCGCAATTTCCGTGCTCACAGTCGTTAGACTTACATATTTATTTAAAGCACTGACATACATAATTCCATTTAGATGCTAATAAATCCTTCTTTGGTGAAACAATAATAAATTACACGCACGCTGATAAAGACTATTACAAGACCTGTGGCGATAATCGACTCTTTATTGGACTCTTCTTCCAATCGGTCACTACTTTTACACAAAGAAGGCTCAGTAATTACCGAAAACAATGTAACTTTACATATTCACGATGTCTTTGATGTTGTTATTATTTTGTTTCCTCTTTATCAATCTAAAACTCTTGTGGTGTAATTTCGGCATGCGTGAGACTTTTTCAAGCTTTGGAAGCGGTTATTAAACAAATCGTTCCATCAAGCGATGGGAGAGTTGTTTCAGTGACAACAATTAGCCACATTCGAACATAATTTACACCCAAATGCTGCAAAGGATATTAAATTTATATATCTTTGAAGATAAATAGGGTTGTTAAAAAAATTCTGTAAAGCTCATTTAATACGAGTAATGCAACAAATTATCAAAATTTTTATAGATTTTTAGAAAATAAGTTTAACGAAATAAATACTCGTATACCTATCTATTAGTTAATTTTAATATAGAACTACTCATAATATACAAAGCTTTTAAAGTTTATGTCAGTTTATGTTTTAAATACGAAGTCTTTTTTTCAAGGTTCTATTGGCTCTAAAATTTAAACAATTGATAATATCAAAAAATCTCTTACAGACAAAATAGTGTTTACTTTAAACTACAGTGCGATCAAAAAGTCTTTCTATCAAGTAGGCGTCCTAGTTGAGGACGTATGTCGCATGGCAGTTCGTATGTTACCTATAGATGTCAAAAAATTATTTTATAAAAAATAAAACTCTAAGCTAATTAAATTGAATTATTCTATGAAACGTCTCAAAATATCCTAAAATGAGATTTTGTTGGTGTTTATTCATAAAAATCGTTCACCACGGTTTCCTGTTATAATTTACATAAAAATTATTTTGACATTTCTCATTTGTCATTGTGACATTTTATCTTCCACAGACATATGTTTTAAATTTCTACGCTTGCTTGATAGACAGACTTTTTG